GAATGGAAGACAGTAACATGTCTGAGATAAGGATGAAAAGTTATGTCAGTATGGATTTTTAAACAAGAATTAAACTCCAGGCACTATAATGGTAACTGATAACTATTATGGATTTTTAGTTAAATATTCAGTATCAACCTGTTATTTAAAGATCCCATGGTTTTGCTTTTTTGATAAAAAAAAAAAAAAAAATCAGTTTTTATCCCGTTTATTCCATAAGGACTAACTGTGTGTTCCCAACTGGTGTAAATTCACTTCTGTGTAATAATCCTAGACAGACATGTGTTGGCATAATGAAAAACCAATTGCAGATAATATTCTACTAAACCGTTTTCTCTTCCCTCTGAAGTGCAGTTTTTATGTTTTCTTCTCTTTTTAATAAGTTGTATTGCTCTCCAGAAAAGAGAGCTTAAATTAAAAATGTCCTTAACTCCAGATACTAAAGTCTGTACTAAGCATGTCTATTAATTTGTTTTTAAAACAAAATACTATCAGAGAGAAACTTACAGGTTTTTGAGTTGAGAACTACTTAATCTGGTGGAGGGTACATTTTCATATATACAATTTCAGCAGCTTTGAATTGAGTCGATTTGTATAGAAAGTTCTAGATCACATCTTTTATGAACAACTGAAAGCAACAGTCAATGTGTGCCAGAATGTACTGCTTTGAGTAGAGTTCACAAGCACAAACCCCTGTACCTACAATTACATTTAAGGTCATCTAGGCTGCGCCCTGTGGCTCTCCAAGACTGTATCTTTATTTACTGACTAAAACTGTACTAACTGCTGTAGTTCATCCAGAATTAGTCATGTATCTCTTCCTAAGTTTGTCTCAAGCTATGAGTACTGGAGAGGAGGAGTGGATGCCTGCAGATCAGGACTTAAAGAACAGAATCTTGTATTGTCATGGTAAGAAGATTTCTTGTGCCCAGAGTGTGCGAAAACAAGCTCCTAAATAAAAAGAGAGGCTGAGATGCTAGCAGTAGAGTACAGTTGATAGCATACCAGGTCCTTAAGACAAACAGGCTCAAGATGGACTGCTTTTGAATCTAAAAGCAAGCACTCTCAGTGTAGACTACTGGAAAGTTTATGCTTGAGAAGGGACCTCTTAGTTGATGCTATCAATATAGATCTTGTCTTAGAGGACTAGCCGAGTCTTTTATTGAACTCAACTTTCTAGGGTCTCAAAGGCTAGAATCATGAGTTGTTTTCCGCTTTCTGCCCCTACATATCATCTTCTATAGGATATAGAAAAGTAGCTTTGCTAAAGCTGGTCTCCTTTATGTATGTTGCACATCAAGAGCACCGAGAGGTTCCACAACCAGATAGCATAGTGTGAAGTACAGTCAGTCTTCATTTACACTGTTCATTCATGACTCTAAGTATATAGCTATGCCAAACATAATATGGTATTCCCTCTCATCAGACATTGTTTATGATCATTTCTGTTCTCCCCATATATTCAGAGGCTGCACTGAAAAGTCCGGTATCTGATTAGAGAATTATCTGAGCAGGTTTCTCAAAAAAAAAAAAAAAAAAGAAAGTTCCTGGGGATTTTTTTGTATTCACTGTTATTTTTGCTTAGCAGGCCTGTAAGATCAAGGCTCCATAATTTGAAACACTATATGAATACAGAGCTTAAATAAATTGTAGTTTGTCTCAAATAATTACCAAATGAAATTTTGCAATTCTGAAGTAGATCTTCTGTCTGCTCATTGGGCATACTAATTTTAATTTCTAATATCATTTAATGTCCCTGAAGTAGAATCATATTTGGCACAAATCTTCTCTTTCCTCCGGACTTCTAAGATTGCTGACTTCTAATCATGACTTTTACTAGTCAATAGTTTTGGAAGAGTAATACTAAGTTTTTAGTAGATAGCATCTAAGAGCAAAAGTGGAGCACAGATTTAGTAAAGATCATTGAAAGTCTCTTTTTTCAAGTATTTCAAACACCTGAAGGTGTTAGAGATTAAGTAAATAGACTTTTTATGAAATATTAGAATAAACAGTAATAGAAATGAATGAGAAGAGTACCTGTTATCAGCTATCAGGGAGATCAATCTTCAAAATTGCATCAGATCATTTGAGTACCGAAGTTTCCTTTTTGTTTTACACGTGTCTTCTTGATTGAGCTAGAGTGTTCTGCATTTACATTATTCCCATAATAACATTTATTAGACCACATTTGAATACTGTGAGCAGTTCTGAGCCCTCCAATACTTGAATAAACTCAAGCAAGCTGGTTGAGGCCTGGAGAACAGGACTTGTGAA